AGTTGGTTGAGCTAGGGGTTTGTTGAGATTCTTGGATATATGGATTTATAGTTTTTATCAAGTAGAAGAGTTTTGGGGTCTTTCTTTCTTTGCTGAGCATTGAACCCAGGGTCCAATGCATGCTAGACAGTACTCTACCACTGAGCTACATCCTCAGCCCCACTTTTAAAAAATATTTTTCATTCATGCATTTTTTTTGTTTGTTTGATTTTTGGTACCAAGGATTGAACCCAGAGTTGCTTAACCACTGAGCCACATCCCCAGCTGTTTAATTTTTAATTTTGAGACAGGGTTTCACTAAGTTGTTCAGGGCTTCTCTAAATTGCTGAAGTTGGCTTTGAATTTGCAGTCGTCCTGCCTCAGCCTCCCAAGCTGCTGGGATTACAGGTATGTGCCACCACTCCTGACTCATTCATTTTATGTATACTATATATTATGTTATCATATGATTTTTATATACACACACACACACACACACACACACACACCTACACACACAAACGATTTTTCCTCTCATTCTCACTCTGGTGACACAATTCACTGGTAGTTCCAAAGCCACATGGTGAGCTTTTCTGAGGGCAGCCAGCATCATTTGTTTCCATTGGTCAGTGTCTGGTGTCTGGCATTGAATTGAGTTGGAGAGCAGGAGTCATCCACAGAGGTCTATGGCAATTGCTAAATGGGCACAAGGATTGCCCAGGACTCTTCCCTTTTGTGAATATTTAGTCCAGGACCCACCTTCTGGCTCCAAAGTAGGAGAAAAGTCCTCCTCTCCTTCCTGCTGCAGGGGTTGCATTGCTGGGCCCATCTCATCTCTTAGCATTCCAAAAACAGCAGCTCAGGTTGGCGGGTAGGATAGCAGAGTCCAGCTGTCAAGGTCATTCTAGGAAGGAGATGCTTTGTGGCTTGAGTAGTGTTCCTTAGGCAGAATGGCCTGGCATCCTCTGAGGATTCATTGTGGGGCGAGTTAGGCCCATTCTGGAGTAGCAACCAGAAGCCTTTGTCCTTAGAACTGCTTCTGCCACTCACTAGCTGTGTGCCATCAGGCATTGCACTGAGTTTCTCTGTGCCTTATCTTAGTCATCTATTATGTGGGCTTGATCACCCCATCTGGCACATCTCATAGAGCTGTTCCAAGGGTGCATAGATGCTTTGACCTAGTAGGGTCTTGCATAAAACTATTATTTTCTTTCAATTTTTTTTTTAATATTTATTTTTTAGTTTCAGCAGACACAACATCTTTGTTTGTATGTGGTGCTGAGGATCGAACCTGGGCTGCACACATGCCAGGCAAGCGTGCTACCGCTTGAGCCACATCCCCAGCCCAAAACTATTATTTTCTGCTGGGTGGTGCACACTTGTAATCTCAGCCACTTGGGACGAGGCAGGGGGATTGTAAATTCAAAGTCAGTCTCGGCAATTTAGCAAGGCCCTAAGCAACTTAGTGAGACCCTGTCTTTGAATAAAAGTATAAAAAAGGGCTGGGAATGTGGCTCAGTGGTTAAGCACCCCTGGGTTCAATCCCTGTTTACAGCACCCCCTCTCCCCGCAAAAAAACCCCAAACAACAGCAATAACAATTATTTTATTAAGTATTCTCATCAAGCAAACGAAAATGTTGAAGTGTTTATATCATATTTTCCTGATCAGATGTCTGCACCAGAATGTTTTGGTTATAACCCATAAGGCAGGCACTAGGGTCCAGGTGAACCTATGTATTTGTCTACTTATTTGGTATCCATTAGTCTAGATTGGTGACAATCTTCCTGAAAAGGAGAATGGTGATAGCTCTCTGATAGTCTGATGGGAAGCATAACTTTTTCTCCACAGGCGAAAATTTCATTTTTTGAAGAGTTCATTTATTTTTGAGTCGAGTGTCACTGAACATGCTGGCATGTTTTAGTTGCAGAGAAAAATGATCACATATGGTCAGAGGGGCAGCCGGCTTCCCATCTCCAGGCAGGGGCTGTGTACCTGAGCGAGGAGGAGCCCCTACATGACCGCACGGGCCAGGACAGGGCTGCGGAGGAGGCTGGTGCTGGGCTGGGGCTGGATGCTAACCGAGATCCCATGGTGGTGCTGTCTGTGATTCCTGGGGAAGCTGAGGACAGACGGAGCTCGGAGCCCAGTGGTGGCACCTGTGGTGCTGATGGAGAGGAAGACTCAAGGTGCAGCGCCCGAGACAGCCTCTTCTCTCTGGACAGAGGTGGGACAAGCTTCCCTGAAAGAGAAGAAGAGTACTATGCGGAGCCTGAGGTGGTGGAACCTGATCCTGCCCCTGCAGAGGACACCAATAACACCGAGAGCCTCAAGTCCCCAAAGGTGAACTGTGAGGAGAGGAATGTGACAGGGTTGGAGAATTTCACTCTGAAAATTTTAAATATGTCCCAGGTAAGAAAAAACCATTTAGCACTTTTCTCCTTTCAGCGCATGAGTCCTATGATGAATACTCTACCAGCTTTTCACAGGGAGGGCCACCATCTTTATCATGTTCTTAGTGGGGGGGTAACATTGAGTGGCCCTGTTAATGAAAGTTGACTTTGTTTCTGGTGAAGTTTATAGGAAAAGGAGGAAATAGAATTAATGAGCTCACAGTTTTGAGTTCATAGTTTAATTATGCTTTATTTTGGTACTGGGGATTGAACCCAGGGGTGCTTTACCACTGAGCCACATCCCTAGCCCTTTTAAAAAATTTTTTTCTTTTGAGACAGGGTCTCACTAAGTTGCTAAGTTGGCTTTGAACTTTCTATCCTCTTGCCTCAGCCTCCCAAATTGCTGGGATTACAGGAGTGTACCACTTTGGCTCAATTATGCTTTTTAGGTGGCCAAAATCTAGTCATTCTTTGGGTAATCTCACCATCATGCCTTATGATAAAAACCCCAGTGGATAGATAGTTGGTTAGCATCAGAATCATAGCATTTGACTTCCAGGGCTGGGGATATAGCTCAGTGGTAGAACACTTGCCCTGCCTTCAAACGAAATATTTATTACAGAGGCAACATAAAATCCCTGAGTTACAACTGGTCAGTGGCTTGTGCCTGCAGTCCCAGCTACTCCCAAGGCTGGCTTGAGCCCAGAGTTCAAGACTGACCTGGGCAAAGTAGTGAAACACTGTCTCAAAAAACAAAACAAACCAAAATTGAACTAAATTATAATTTAGCAGTATTTAGATGAGAAGTATTTATAATTTCCTTGAAGTTATATCACATTGATTGTCATTTTCTTTCCTCTAAAGAATGTGGACCAGTAATTGTTCTGGAGAGAGAGCTGAGACTGTTGTCCTAAACCCAGCCATGCTTTTCCAGCTAGTTGGAATTCCAAAAGGAATTCTGGGACAATGACTGACAATTTCTGTAGTTGAGAAGCCAGAAGAGCAGGATGAAGTCAGGCTGCTTGTATGAGAAAAATAAATCCCAGCTCTGAAAGCTATGATTGCTTCTTGTCAGGGAGGGCATAATACAGTTAGTGCATGTAGCTTCTCTAGGAACAAGGGTCAGCCTGGGGTCTCACATCCCCTCCTGAATGTGGTAAACATTTTGCCTTAGTCCTGCAGTATTGTTTTACTGAGTCACATACATAACCAGGATAGTCTGAGTTATAGTTTAAATAGCTGGTGGTAAGGACAGTGCACCCTTGACTTTAGGTAACCTTTGGCCTCATGCGTTGATCCAGTTGCTTGGTATAGACTTAGCTCTACTAAAGTGATAACTTGGGGTCTGATATCATAGTATCAGACTCAAATATCATTTGAGATTGTTTGATGGATGTGTTAGTTAGTTTTCTGTTACTCTAACAAAATACCTTAGATAATCAACTTAAGAAGAGGAAAGGTTTGTTTGAGCTGACAGTTTTGTAGGTTTCAGATCATGGTCCGTTGACACTGTCACTGTTGGGCCTGTGGTGAAGCAGTACACCATGTTGGGAGTGTGTGGCAGAAGAAGCCCTCTTCTCATGGAGGCTAGAAAGAAAGAGAGAGTGTAAAGAAACCAAGGTCCCCAAATCCCATTCAAGTACACACCCGAAATGCCTAAGACCTTCCAGGTCTATCTTGTTCAGGCTTCACCACCTCCCAGTGGCACCATGGGCCTTTGGGATTTAAATCATAGTATTTGAGATGCACAATTCAAAGGCATGGGCAGTGACCTGTACCCTGTGAGTATTTGCATTTGAAGTAATGGATTATGAAAAATACTAAAACAGCTCTCTAGTCATATTCAAAAAGCTTAGAGGAAAATACATACCATGTCATTTGGTACTGCTTTTCTACCAATTCCTGGATCCATGTGGTTTGAATCCCAAAGGTTCCTGAGGAAGTTGCGCAGCTCTCCCTGCCCCCAGCTGCAGTCCCTCTCTTTGGAGGCAGCGGGCATTTCTCTTTCTTGGGTGTCCGGCCAGAAGCACATGTATGTACTTTATTGCTGACGTCAGTGCTGTTTCTTTCACCACAGGACCTTATGGATTTTCTAAACCCGAATGGTAGTGACTGTACCCTGGTACTGTTCTACACTCCATGGTGCCGGTTTTCCGCCAGCTTGGCCCCTCATTTTAATTCTCTGCCCCGGGCGTTTCCAGCTCTTCACTTTTTGGCACTGGATGCATCTCAGCACAGCAGGTATCTTCCCATGGCGGGTTTACGGCTCATCCTTTTGGCTGATGGTGCGGTTATGTGGAGGCTGCAGTTAGATAAGTTAGAAGTGGAGGAGGAGGAGGTGGAACTATGCGATGATGGAAGGAAGGGAAAGGCAAGACTGAGGTGTGTCAGCCAGTTGCCGTGGCACATGCCTGTAGTCGCAGCTACTCAGGAGGCTAAGGTGGGAGAATCACTTGAGCCCAGGAATTTGAGAGTAGCCTGAGCAGCACAGGGAGATCCTGTGTCAAAAAAAAAAAAAAAAAAAAAAAAAGTGAATTAGTGCAAGAGTGTCAAACTTCTGAGAAAGCCAGTGGCATCATTTTTTGGAAGACCCTTAACAAAAGAGGCTTGATCTCTGTGTGGTGGATTTAAAGGTGTCACATTTTGGCAGAATAAAGTCCAAAGGACTTTGGAGGGTCCTGGCCAGAGTGAGTTAGTGCAACTGGTGTCACAGTATGAGGTCTCTTGTGACTTTAACCTGCAGATTAGGTCCCCATCCCTGGCAGCCTAACTCTTAGGACCCTTGTTCTGTGTTTACTTTGACATTCTTCCTTTCCTTGTATTTTCTCTTGTCTTTCCTTTCTTTCCTTCCTCCTTCTTACATATACTCTTTTTTTTCATATACTCTTTTTTTTACCAGGGATTGAACTCAGGGTCACTCAACTACTGAGCCACATCTGCAGCACTATTTTGTATTTTATTTAGAGACAGAGTCTCACTAGTTGCTTAGTGCCTCCCCATTGCTGAGGCTGGCTTTGAACTTGTGATCCTCCTGTCTCAGCCTCCTGAGCTGCTGGGATTACAGGTGTGCACCACCGTGCCCAGCTCTTACATCTACTCTTTGCATGCAAGTTCCACAGTAAACATTCAATAAAGTAATGAATTAATTTAATCCATTAAAGTAACATTTACCTTTGTTTTATGTTTCTGTTATATTGCCCACTCAGTTTTTATCTTTTTTGGGAGGGAGGGTAAATTGGGTCTTGCTACATTGCCCAGGCTGACCTTGATCCTCCTGCTTCAGCTTCCCAAGTAGCTGGGATTATAAGCATGTGCCACCACCCTTGGCTCATCTTTTTAAAATGTCTAATAAAACAAGTTAGAGAATTTATTCAGATATTTTGCATTTACCCTAAGTGCTGTGATCATGGCCAGTTTATAAACTGTGTTCCCACTTCTTCTAAATCAGATGTTCCTTACTAGGTCACAAGACAATGTGTGTGAATCAGTCTAGAATGTTGGGAACCTGGTCAAGGTGATGGTAAAGGCTTTATTAATTTGTACTCTACTGATATTTTTCAGTGTTGGTCTATAACTGCTAATGTTTACATGAAACTTTTATGGAAAAAGAATAAAGGAATAAAAGAAATAGAAATTTATTTTGTTTCATGGTTCCCAAGGCTTCAGCCCCTGGTCAGTTCAGGCCCTGCCGGTGTGCTAAGGCATCATAGCAGAAGCACCTGGTGGAGGAAACCTGCTCAGTTCTTGGTGGCCAGGAAGTAGATGGAGCTTGCTTGTAGTCACAAGCCTCACCCCAAATACATTAAGCTGTGAACCCATAAATGGATCAATCATTTAATGAAGTCAGACCTTATGATCCAGTTACTTCCCAAAGCCCCCACCTCTGAACACTACTGCACTGGGTACAAAGCCTTCAACACATGAGTTTTTGGGGACATTTAAGATCTAAATCATAGGCGGCAGGTGAGGTGGCACATGCCTATAATCCCAGTGGCTCAGGAGGCTGAGGCAGGAGGATCATGAATTCAAAACCAACCTTAGCAAAAGCAAGGCCCTCAGCAACTCAGTGAGACCCTGTCTCTAAATAAAATACAAAATAGGGCTGGATTGTGACTCGGTGGTCAAGTGCCCCTGAGTTCAATCCCCAATACCATTAAAAAAAAAAGATCTAAATCATAACATAGGAATCTCATATATTAATATGCAAATAGCATGTTACTTGATGAGAAGAATATTTTGATTATTCAATATTATTGTTTCACTAATGGGGGAAGCTGAGGTTTAGGGAGGTTAAATAATCTGCCCATAGGTCACAACTGGTTCAGTGGCCTGAGACTAGAACCCAGACTGGTCTGTATTTTGTAGAGGTGAAATAATCCTACCCAGGTCAGATTACTTCCAAGTCCTCTTCCCCTAATTGTGAACTTCCTGGTGCATTACGTTATATATTCCCTTGCACCAATTACCAAACCAATTGCTTTCTGTAAGTTGATGTTTTTGTTTTTTTTAGGGATGGAGATGGGCATTCTGAAGAAATTGAAATTTCTTCTGTCAAATAAATTGATACAGTGTGCTTTGTCCGTGAATTAGAATTTTCTGTTCTGATGTTTAACAGTTAGGAACTTAAATAGTGGAATAATTGGGTCATGGGTAGATCCACATGGTCATAGAAAGCAATTCAGGAATACCCCCAATCCTGACCCATAAGGAAAGAGGTCAAGAAAAAACCGAAAGCTTCAAATTTGAATATCAGAAATCTCCTCAGGTCACACAAAACTGATCCTTTCTCATTTATTTCCACCATTCTGATATGAGAAAGCTTGCTGTTAATTAACTCAGGTTTTCTAATTGACTTCTTTCTCTCAGCCTTTCTACCAGGTTTGGCACTGTAGCTGTTCCTAACATTTTGTTATTTCAAGGAGCTAAACCAATGGCTAGATTCAATCATACAGATCGAACACTGGAAACACTGAAAATCTTCATTTTTAACCAGACAGGTATGTAGCAATAATATGCTGGGGAAGAAGATATCTTACTTCTGGGAGTGTATGCCTTTCTTTTTGGGGGGTTACTGGAGATTGAACTCAGGGCCACTGAACCACATCCCAGTCCTATTTTGTATTTTATTTAGAGACAGGGTCTCACTGAGTTGCTTATTAGTCTTAAAGTTGCTGCGGCTGGCTTTGAACTCACATCCTCCTGTTTTAGCCTCGCCAGCCACTGGGATTACAGGCATGCGTCACTGTGCCTGGCAGTGCATACCTTTTGATTTGCTTAAATCCTTAGATTGACTTTAAAGTGTCAAAATTATTTTATTTAAAAACTAATTAATTAATTAATTAAAGTTTTTTTCTAATGAACTCGTGGATCTTGTTAAATACCTCTCTATGAGTGGCAAGCTTAACATGAGTAGGTAATTTAATGACTATAGATACCATTTAAAAAAAAAGATTTATTAAAATATAATTCACATATCATACACTTTACCTATAGACACCTTTTTATATTCATTTTTAGTTATTTAATATTTACAAAAAATTATATAAATCATTGGTGATGAATTTTTATAAAGTGAAATTTCAACATTACATACAACTGAAAATGTATGTAAAAAGATATCTATACCCTGAGTAACCCGTACTCAGTACAAGAAACACATGAGCAAAATAGCCCCTCTGCAAAGATAGCCAGTCTTGACTCCATACCAGTCTAGTGTTACCTGTTTTGTATTAGTGGAGATGTATTGTGTATATTCTTGGGTGTCTGACTTATTTCATCCAACTACTATGCTTATGAGATATGTCTGCATTGTTTTTGTTTTGTTGGCATTCATTTATTAATCCATTTGCAGATGTTATTCTAATTCTTTAATTTAATTCCTTAATGTTTAAACATATGGCCAGGGCTGGGGGTGCAAGTCAGTGTAAGACCACTTTCTTAACATGTGCAGGACCCTGGGTTTGATTCTCAGCACTGCAAACAATCAAACCAAACCAAACAAACACAACTTCACTTTTTACTCTTTGTAAGAGTTTGAGCATTTAAATCGAAGAAAATTTCCTCCATTGTAAAACTTAACTACTCAAAAACCTTACTGTCTTAACTAAGAGTATCCCTTCTTTCTGAAGTGTACTCAGTGGAAATAAGTTCAAATTAGAACACACTTCCCATATATAGTGAGTTGCATGCAATCACTTTTCTCTTAACACTAAAGAGCAAAGTGCTAAGTTAATTGGAGGGTGCAAGTGGGCCACAAAGTGGTTAGGAATCCAGGTCTAGTACTGGATCCCAGACTGGTGTGTGGAGAGGAAGCCATTTTCTTCACTGCTCTAGGAAAATGTAGAACACACAAAATCTAGGAGTCCTAGTGTCTTTGGTGATTACCAATCCTAATAGTTGCTAGTTCTATCAATTTTTTCAGTAACTTATTTAAAAACTTTTTGAATTCAGCATTACTTAAACATGTGAAAACATTCTGTGAACTCCTGCAAATAAGTAGCTTTACTAGTTGCTTGTTAAACTTTGGTCTCAGGAGAACAAAAGGCAGCTCTTACAAGGCATTGACTAAGAAATCTCTGATGAGTCCACAGAAATTCTGGAATTTTAGCTTGGAATAGTTGAATGGATTCCTGATCCTTTGATGTGGTGGGGAGAAAGGCAAGCTACAAATTATACTGACAAGCAGGTGAAATTCATCCCAGATATAATAGCGGTGGTGTTTATTTTAGGATTGCATGTCATTTTGCATACCATGCATCATACTTCAAAAAAATCTGTGGCGGATGTGTTTTCTCTCTGGTTTGAAACAATTGATTTTTCTTTCAGGTATAGAAGCCAAGAAAAATGTGGTGGTAACTCAAGCTGACCAAATAGGCCCTCTTCCCAGCACTTTGATAAAAAGCGTGGACTGGTTGCTCGTATTTTCCTTATTCTTTTTAATTAGTTTTATTATGTATGCTACCATTCGAACTGAGAGTATTCGGTGGCTAATTCCAGGACAAGAGCAGGAACATGCCGAGTAGTGATGGACTTAAAGAAGCTGAAGAGAGGAGAACTTGCAGTTTTTCATTTCAGAAATTATTGCTGTAATCTCATACATTTTCTCCAGTGAAGTGTTGACTTGCAACTTCAGTCAAGTTAAAAGAATCATGCCTTTGTTGAATGGGTAAAAGAATTACAAACTGGTGTTTTAACTAGTTTTGGAATAAGCAGATGCAAAAAATATTCATTAGAACTTACTATTCTTGTTTTTATTGCTTGAATATAACCCAATATTTTAGGAATAATCCAGTTTGAAATGTGAAGACATATTATGGTAGAATAATAAGTATAGTGCCATTGTGATTACTGTGTACAAGGCAGAAATAGAAAATTCTTGGTTCCTTGTGTATGTCTAGGAAAGTTGGTTTTCTGTTTGCAGTTTCTCTTCCAGAGTTGGTTAAGCAGGAACATGTTTTGTTATGGGAAGAATAATTAGAACTGACAGTGTATCCCTAAAATTGCAACTGATGGAAAATAAAAAAGTGAAATATCTTAGTGTTTGTGATCTCTGCTTTCACTGAAAGAATTTAAAGTGATTTCACTTGTTTCTAGGTAAGACAGATGTTAGGAAAAAGTAATTAAAAAAACTTTTTTTTTTTTTTTTTTTTGTATTAGGGATTGAACACAAGACCTTGCATACACTAGGCAAGTAATCTGCCACTAAACTGCATCCCTGATTTTTTTTTTTTTTTTTTACGGTACTGGGGATTGAATTCTGGGAAACTTGACCACTGTGCCACATCCCCAGCCCTATTTTGTATTTTATCTAGAGACAGGGTCTCACTGAGTTGCTTAGCACCTTGCTGTTGCTGAGGCTGGCTTTGAATTTCTGATCCTCTTGTCTCAGCCTCTGGAGCTGCTGGGATTACAGGTGTGCGCCACTGTACCCAGTTTAAAAAAAAAGTTATGTTGAGATAGGCTCTTAGTTACCCAGGCTGGCCTTGAACTAGTGATCATCTTTTCCTTTTGTCTTAGCCTTCTGAATAGCTGGGATTACAGGCGTGCGCCACCATGCCTTGCAAAGTAAATATTTTTATAACTCAAGGTAATTTATTAGTTCCATGCTAAAGCATATTGTAATCACAGTACTAATTATTTCCAGTGTTTTAGATAGTTTAATGTGTATATCATTATACCCTAAATTCTACAGAATTTGGTTTCCTGAGTGTTATTGTTACTGAATGAGAATTGACAGCTTTATGTGTGAACAGCCATGATTGGGATGTCCACTGGCAGAAGGGGACCATAGCTCAAGACAGTAGCATTATGGTGTCCATTTTACAAATAAGCAAACTGAAGTTTAAAGAGGTTAAGTAACTTCCTGAAGCTACATAGATAGTAAATTAATGAAACTGGGATTTGAACTTCATAAGTATACTTGTAATTCCAGTTATTAAAAAAAAAAAACCTTTAATGATTCCATCTGTGATAGTAACACTTGAGCAACTGTTACTGTGAGTGCTGGGTACTATTTTAAATGCTTTACTCATATTGTTTCATTTATCCATAAAATAACCCTATGAGATGGATACTCTTAAATAGCCTCATTTCAAAGAGTAAAAGGAGGCCCCCAGAACTTGCTCTTCCAGTGGTGGGATCAAGCTTCAAACATAAGCATTCTTACTCTAGAACCTCTGAGAGATGGGACTCTCCCCAGCTCCATACCATGTCCCAGGAAACCACTGATTGCCTTTCCCTCTAGGCTTTCTCCAGTGTGTTGTAGTCATACTATTGTTAAAATTTAGCAACTGGATTTTTTTTTTTTTGCTTAACAAATGACCAACATCTCACTGTTGCTAGTAGTTTTCTTAACCTTAACAGACCTTTGAATAGATTTAGCATACTTACCTGTCTTCTGCATATAGTCTCATTTTGGAATATAAAAGAATTACAAATTTTGTTGGGGGCAAATTCCCAGTGTTGTAATTATATATAAAAGACTTAAGTGTTTTCATGCCTTGTGATATATACTGGGTTGCTATTCTAGTCTGGAAGGGGAGGGAGGGCTCCCAGGATGACCAGCATATCCATGGCTTGCTTCTAACACTTAGTTAAGACCAGCTATGTGGGGTTCCCCTGGAAGGAAATAAGGAGCAAGGCTATTCCCTACAGAGGAGATGCAGAGATTTGTCAGGAAACACTGGTTTTGAGGGAAGGAAGGGGAAGTAGCAGGAGGAAAGGTAGCAGTCCAGGATAAGCCTAACATTCGCAAGCCAAACATGGTTGACCACTGCAAAAGATGTACCCAGTTAAGTCTTTGCTAAGGGGCTTAAATCCTATTAATCTGGGAGCTGTGTGTGAAGGCAGAGCATTCAAAGCCCCTACCAGATGACATCACTCCCCTGACCCTTACCATCTTTGGCTGTTTGCCTGACTAGAGTTGACATGTTACATTTTCATAAAATGTTAAGGAAGGAAAGTGATGAAGGGTCACTAATTTGTTAAATCACACATAGCAGTTCATTTTTCAATTCTCACTTTAATAAGCAAATTTCAAGAATATTTTTCATGATCATAAACACCCAGTGTAAATATTGGAAATACAAACTTTAATTACACTTGTAGTCTGTGCCTGCCTCAGGAACCCTGAGAAAGAAGCCAGTGTCTTACATGCCTGTTGCCAGTGACATGTTCAGGCCTCTCCCATCCCGCACCCCCAGCTTGAGTCTTCCCCTGGGTTTTGCTTTTCAGATAGCCATGTCTTGTCAAGTGGGCAAAAGGGAAGAAAGCAGGCCAAGCCAGAAGCCCATGAATTTTAGGCCATTTGGAGGCAAAAGGCTTTATAGTTTTTTCAAGTCCATGTGGGATATAAAACTGACGGCTCACCACGGTTAAATCGATCTTTTGTATATATCTATTCTTTTGCTGTAAACTCTCCAAACCCACTTATGTCATTCAATTGCTTATTTCGAATACAAGTTAATGCCCCAAACACTACGTTTTAGAGGGTGAACCTGATGGTTTGTCAATTACCTCTCAAAAAGAAAAATATTAATAAATACACACATAGAATACATAAAAGAAAGAATACCTCCCAATAGTGAGGACAGTTTTCCTGTCCTCACCTGTCTCTGGAGAGGCTCCGGTGTTGAGCCTGCGGGGAGGCTAAAGATGCAGCTCTTACTACTTTTTCAAGGCAGATACGGCTGACCACAGATAGATTCGAACCCGCGGCTGCCTGATTTGCACGGTTTCGAGGTGAATCACTAAGGTCCGCTGTCCCCAGAACTGAACTAACTACCGAGGGGGCAGCTCCCT